TTGTGAAGTTTGCGGACGACACTACAGTGGTGGGTCTTATCACCAACGGTGATGAGACGGCTTACAGGGAGGAGGTCAGCGCCCTGACCCACTGGTGTCAAGACAACCATCTCACCCTCAACGTCGCAAAGACAAAGGAGTTGATAGTGGACTTCCGGAGGTGCAGAGAAGTACACACCCCCATCACCATCAACGGCGCTGCTGTGGAGAGAGTGAGCAGCTTCCGGTTCCTTGGTGTACATCTGGCTGAGGATCTTACGTGGTCAGTACACACAAACAAAACAGTGAAGAAGGCGCAGCAGCGCCTCTTCTTTCTCAGGAGACTGAAAAGATTCGGCATGAGCCCCCGCATCCTCAGGACCTTCTATCACTGTGCCATTGAGAGCATCCTCACTGGATGCATCACCACCTGGTATGGCAACAGCACCGCCTACAACTGCAAAGCTCTCCAGCGAGTAGTGCGGTGCTCTGAACGGATAATTGGAGGTGAGCTTCCCTCCCTCCAAGACATCTACAGGAAGCGGTGCCTGAGGAAAGCGGGGAGGATCATCAAGGACTCCAGTCACCCCAGCCATAAACTGTTCAGACTACTTCCATCAGGAAGGAGGTTCTGCAGCATCCGGTCCCGTACCAGCAGACTGAGAGACAGCTTCTTCCATCAGGCCATCAGACTGCTGAACACGTCATAGACACCTCAGCTTCACTACTGGAACTTTAACATTATGCACTCCATACTGTACAGTAATGCCACTGTTTTGCACATGTCTCAACTCTGTATATTTTTATATATTTTATTTATTGTTTACTCTATTTAATTTGTAAAATATGTGTACACACACACACACACACACACACACGTAGAAAAATATTTAGTATACACATCCAGAAATGCATATACTATTATATATTGTACATATATTTATTAGTTTCAGATGTAGCCATTCTTGTATTTTGCTTGTTTACGTTATTGTATTTTGCACAACTCTGTTGCTTGTGAAGCTCGCACACAAGAATTTCACTCACATGTGCTGTACCAATGTACCTGCACATGTGATGTGACAATAAAAGTGATTTGATTTGAAAATGGATTCTGTAACGTATTCCGTTATGAGAGTAACATATTCTGAATACTTTGGATTTCTTAATATATTATCATGCTGTTTACAACTACGTGAATGTACTATTGCTGTGATTTATTACTGTTACCGAACCGTAGTAAAGGGACCTCTGGCTAATACGTGGGGTTCGTGTCGGGCTCGTAGCCGGAAAAAAGCTTTACTTTGTTGTCTGGGTCAACTTTTCTTGCAAGAGACAGAGAGGCGTTGAAAGGCTGCCCCAACGGAACTTATTGTTTCGGAGGAAAACACAAACACAGCGTACAGTCTTAATAGCTTACTTACACCTGGGCTCGTCAGGCACTCTTCTTGGCTGCAGTGGTTATTATTATATTTACATGCTTCCAGCTCCTGTTTTTGCCCGATGACAACTCGTACTTTTCCTTTTTCCTCCCTCCCTCGCTCACAGACACATAACGGGTATGACAGTCCATTCTCCCTGCAGCACGGACTACACTGCCTATGATGCTACATTCTTTAGAGCATTCTGCCTGTTAGCTTAGCATAACAACAACAACAACAACAAAAAAGTGCTCTCTCACCCAGGAAAAACGCAGAGAGAGAGCGTCACCCTGTAACCATGGCAACCGCAACGCTGCCGCCTGGAACAACATAACGTAGCTGTCAAACAAAACCCAAACAGTCCTGACCCGCGACAATATGAAACAGGGAAGTACCGCCGTGTAATCCATTTATTTCAACAAAGTAACTGTATTCTAAATACCCCCTTTTTTAAAGGGTAACTGTAACAGAATACAGTTACTCATATTTTGTATTTTAAATACGTAACAGCGGTACATGTATTCCGTTACTCCCCAACACTGATCGTGGCTCATAGGTGCACACACAAGATTATTCGCTAATGCATACATTTCTCCTGTAAACCTTAAAATCCTTCATTTTCACTCATAAATCAATCCACAGACACGCAAAAACAAGTTTGGAGCAGCAGGTGGTTGCGGCTTTGGTGGTCACAGCCAGAGCTCTGTGCCTGCCTCACCTTCCTCAGCAGAAAATAGAAGGTAGAGGATGCTTTGTAAAATTAAAAGCAATTAGAGGAGTCACTACACAGCATCACCCATCTTTTGTTCCACTGGGACAACTAAAAATGTGTATGATATAATGTTTAACACTTGAGTATCATACTATTGCTCACATTTTACTACCTCAAAAATACAGATGTCAGTTTTGTTACGTCATAGGTTACATCACCAAGATGCTACTGACACATTTAGCCAGAAGCCCAGAAGTATTGAGGTTTTAAACCCATCCCTAATGGCAGAGCATGAGTAAAAGCCATGACTCCCTCGAGTTCCTGCAGCATCTCCCCTCCACCCTTCTCTCTCTCCCTCTCTCACAACCAAAGATTCTTCTACACATTTACACCACTGCAGGACCCACTGGGAGTGTGGCCGGCAGAGTGTGGTTTATGTCTGTAAAAATAGCTCTCGCCATCAATAGAACACTCTCAGGCTTAAACTAGGCCTTGACATCATTTCTTTATAAACACAGGGATGATGCAGAGAAAGAAAGGAACATACTGATAAGAAAGAGAGAGGGAGACAGCATACACTCCTCACAGGGTGTCCTGCTTCAAGGAAGTGTTTCTACTTTGGCAGCTTCTGCAAGTTCCCATTTGTATGTTTTACTAAGAACAGGAAAGAAACCGTCCAGTAAACGGATAACTTGTAGGTACACACTAAGATTAGAATGAGCTAAAAATGTCTGCTCTCTCATAAAACTGCCTTGTGCAGGAGACAAATTAAAGAAAATGAGAAATTTAGTGCAGTAAAAAGGATACATTGGCTCTTAAAAAATGTAATAACCCCAAATGAGTACTTTCCTCGAGGTGCAGCTCAATCTGCATAATGTCTAGAGGGGCTTTGGTGGATCCTTTTTCATGTGCTTTAGCTCAGGTATTTTGTTAGGCTGTCTAGAGGATACTCTGCAGGCATAGCAGCTCTTCTTTGGGCTTGTTCTGTGCCCTTCAAATGGAATATTTTCTTTATCTAAAATCATCCTGTAGTAGATCTGCTTTAATGTTTACTTACAGTCATTGTTCTGCTCCATCACCCCTAAAGAAAACTTAACTTGGGAAATTATGTCACTATCAGTGAGAGAGCAGATGTCCATAAACATCAAGATTCACTTTGATGATATCTCCACTATGCATCAGGCTTGAATACGCCTATTTAATGACATGGTAACACAGATGGAGACCAGTTCATTTATGCTGGGGGACTTTAACATATCCCTACTGATTACTGGAGAAGGGAAATTCCTTCTCTCCAACCCTACCCATTCTAAGGAGACATGGGTAGCCACTGTGTGGTGCCCAGGGATTAATTCCAGCTGTAAGCCAGTGCGCTTCAATCAAGGACACTGTGACAGGAGAATTATCCTAGCATGTCATTTCTTTGGAAAGAGAGAGAGCACTAAATCATCTTCACATGCATTAAGGCTTACGTACCTACTAACTGATGCATGATTTGAGAACCCACTTCAGCTTTATGCAAATTATGTGTTCACAAAGACAACCCTTTGAGGTTTGATTTTTATCATCTTTAGCAAAATATTTGTGTGTTTTGAAAAAGATAATTATTTATTCAGGACAAAGAGTAGCAGATCACTTTACATCTTCTTGCCACTATAAATGTAATCACGCTGATAATCACAGAGCCATTGTTTCTTACATTAGCACAAAAAATATGCTGTCAAAACAGCAAATCTTTAGAAAATGCTTCCATCCATCCATTCGCTTCCACTTATCCTTTTCAGGGTTGCGGGGGGCGCTGGAACCTATCCCAGCTGTCATAGGGCGAGACAGGGGTACACCCTGGACAGGTCGCCAGTCTGTCGCAGGGCTAACACACAGGGACAGACATCCATTCGCGCTCACATTAATTAGACGGTGGGAGGAAGCCGGAGTACCCGGAGGGAACCCACGCAAACACGGGGAGAACATACAAAGTCCACACAGGCAGACCCCGGCCTGATGGTGGAATTGAACTCAGGACCTTCTTGCTGTGCAGCAACAGTGCTAACCACTGTGCCACCGTGCTGCTATAGAGTGCAGTTATAAAGTGTTTTGCTGTGTTAACGGGGAGAGGATATTTCCAGGTGTGGATACATCATGAGTAGAAAGAAAGAGGGCTGTAAGAAAAGTGCACACCCCTGCAGGCCCGAAAGGAAGAGACAAAAGACAGCAGAGAGAAGCAAGATTTAAAATAATAATAATAAAATAATTGAGTAATAAGATGGAGGAAAAATGTATAAGACTGAATGACAAAGAATAAGAGAAAAGAAATCTGTATTTATGAATGCGGCAGATAAAGTGTGTGTATGTGTTTGAAATAAATTCCCTGCATTTGCATAAAGGACTGTTTGTTCTCAAAGAGGAGGAGATGAAAAATGTAACAGTTCTACTTTAACTAGCCTTGGGTTGTGGTGTGTTCAATGCCATGTTGTGTTGCAGAGCATTGCAAAGTGTTGCAAAATGATCTATAAATACAGCTCCTCCTCCAGCAGGAGCAGCAGCCAAACAGAAGTTAACTTTGGTAAAGTGGAGGCTGTTTGTAACTTTGGGCTGATGGGGAGCTACACTGTAACAAAATACTGGGATATTATTTCTTTTTTTTCTTTTTTTTAAATATGTTTTCTGTGTGTTTCGTGTGTTCACAGTGTTCTCCAACAAGCCACCTCTCGCCTGGCGTGAACGCCTGTGTGGGCTTGTTAACTAATCTGTGTTGAGGACGAGGTAAAGCAGGTGAAAACTAAAACGCAGAGTCGACCAGTTGCAAACATCCTTAATGAAAAACAGGCCGGAACGATTTAACGATATAAGGAGATAAACTGAAAAAAATAAATGTCAGACAAATGTCCTACCTGCGAATGCGGGGAGGTTTTGGAGGTGGAGTGTCCCATGTATCATCCGATAATTGGTTGCTTGCTTTGTCAGGACTGCTTTCATCCTGGACAAACACACAAGAGTAACAAAACAGTTGGACACGACATTTGTGAAAAGTGGAAAATAAGGGAAACCCTCTTATTTTTCCTTCCTGTCATATTTAGATGCTGGAAAGCAACTACCATCATCCCTACTTTTAGTTAAACGATATAGTTTGTTTTTTGTATATGTGTTTGCATATTTACATGAAAGATGAAGCTTATTTTTCAGCAAGGCCTCTGGACTAACCCTCTTTCTTCTCACCTAAATGTCCCTGAAGCAGAGGTAACAAGTTGCTACAAAGTTGCTTCACCAAACGATGAAAGACTTCTTCTGAAAGAAGCCCTCCCAGCAACAACAATTTTTCTCTCTTCCTCCCAGCTCTCATCTTTCCTCTTCTCCCCTGTGACTCATTAGTTTGACTCCCTCCCCACTCTGGTAATGAGAAGATGACAGGCCAACTTCAGTTGTCAAACTCATGACATAGGGGCAAACCGGGCCATTTGAACGCTCTAGTCTGCCGAGGAACTAAATTCTGATCTAAGAAAAGAGGGCAGGAACACAGCTTCTTTGGCTCCGTATGTCCACGTATGTTGTGAGAACCGATCTAGTGGGACGGTTTCCTGTGAACAAAGGCGGGCGTGAGCGTGCGGAGAAACATGTGGGATGCGTGTATGTGAAGGCTTATTGTTCCCAATGCCACAGAGATCACCTATGTGGGTGTTTTAGTCACCAACAATGGCTGACTGGACATGAGTCAATGCATGTATGGACTGAGTCAGTACAGCACAGCAATACTGATGTGCTGTTTGTGCGTGCAGCGTTCTTCTTGGACTTGCAACTAAGTGAGATAACAACAGGGTCACGATCAGCAGCTACAGACTTGTGCTGCAGTTTATGTCACGCTTGGTGCAAACCACACCTTATCCTTAAATGATTAATAGCATAAATTTTAAAACAAGGGAAGTAGTGATACAGTTTGTCCACATTTTAGAGCCGCTCAAAGATATATTGAGCTCCACTTTACAAAGTATGTCAGCAGATTCTTTTCTAATGTCAAAAACAGTTGTGTCCGTCTGTGTGACCGTGTCTTGCGAGGGTCGCCCTTTCCCAACGGATGTGTTTTTCTATTCTCAGACTCAGAGTGCATTATGGGAGAGAAGTGATGTCACCAAAGCTTCCTAAGCAGGAAGTGAGCTTCTGGATTGCTGCCAGCACACTGTCTCATCAGCTCTGTATCCCCCCCTCCCCCCACACCTCCCACAGTCTTAAGATTTGCCAGTCTTAAAAGCTCTCTCATTGATTCCCATTTCCACCATGTCTGTGTTTTCACAGGTCAGGTGGAGCACTCATTTCTTGATGTTACCTCACCTGATGCTGCTTTGCATCATTTTAATTTCTCTTTAGGATTAAAAGGCTGTGAAATGGCACCACCTCAACACAGCTAGCACCTAAAGCTTCCCATCTTCTTCAGGCAGAAACGTTTGACACAGAAACTGGTTGCATTACTTCAGAGGCCACTGGTGTAAAATGCTGATGGGTATTTGTATAGCATGTTGCATATGCTGCACTTAAACTTGCATTTGTGAGCTTGTTTCTCTTAAAAAGCAACTGAAGCAAACATGCCTCAGAAAGAGGCAGCAGATTTATGGTCTGGTATTTTATCTGCTCACAATACATTTATTATTACATGCAATTATTCTTCACTTACAGTAACAGCAGTTTCTGTTTATATCACTTAATGTGCTCTACTGATTTCAGCCTCTTACAGTGAAGCTTGTGCAGTCCTTCTATGGTCTAGCTCTCTAAATATAGAGCAGCTTGTAGTCTCTTTAAGGCTGCTTGATGGGATGACAGGAAGAATCTATAGTTAAATGATCATTTGTGTTCCAAAACCAGATTAGAGCATGAATATTTAAAAACACAAAGTTTTGGTGTCTTTCAAGTTTGGGAAATAATATTTGTCCCTCTTTTTTTGTGTTGTTTTGTTCTTTAGGCTGGGTATATGCTGTGCACTGTCCTAAATGAAAGGTCATTGTGAAAAAACTGGTGGCATCAGGTCATATCAAAGTGTCCATATCTATGAGCCATCCATTCCCAGTTGTAGCAGCCCTATTCAAACTTGAGGACAAAACACAGAAGAAGAAATTCTCATACAGTCTACATACATCAAGCTTTAGTTTCAGTTTATTAGACCTATGTTGTACAGTGTCATTTGCAACAAACTTTGATCATATGAGAAAAACTTTTTTGGCCATGGGAGGAGGACCAGAGACAATTCAGGACACTTTGTATAGAGCGCTTGTGTATTTGGGGGCAATAGAGGATAATGTAAAGCAATTTAAAATGAGGTCAGTGGTAAGTGTCAGAGCAAAGCGCTTCCAGTTGTTTTTAAATAGCTGAAATTGTCTGCAGTCCTCAGAGTACTCTGTACAGAGATATCTCTCGTTTTAAGCACAATCACAATGACTCTTCTTTTTCTGTCTGTAAACAAAAGTTTTCTTTAGACCTCTCCACACCATCTTCTCCCCTGTGACTAATTATCTGTATTTTTTTCCCCTCCACTCCCAGTAAGTTACTCAGCGACATCCTGTCTTGCTTTAACACTACAGAGCATGCACTGTGTGTGTGTGTGTGTGTGTGTGTGTGTGTGTGTGTGTGTGTGTGTGTGTGTGTCATACCATGCCATCATGGATCTGTGTGCTGGTGGGACTCTCCAGCTGCTGTAGCTGTTTCTCAAACAGTTGAGCGATGGCTCTATGAACCAGCTCATACTGCTCCTATAGATAGAAAGAAAACAGACACATGATGAGGCAGGAGGGAGAGAAAAAAAACTGGTGCATGAAGAAAGAGATAAGGGTTAAATGCACAAGATGTGAGAGGAAAGAGAGAAGTAGAGGAGTGGGAAAAAACAAGTTTCAGCAAATCAATATCAAATCAAATATACTTTCCACTCTATCAAAACAGATTTCATTAGTTACAAGCTTCCTACAGGATGGCGGTCTGAGACTTTGAACTCAAACCTGTGTCAGCGTTTGGCAAATCAATTCTGTAATTCAATTAACCGAGCTCATTTTCACTCCTGGGAGAGAAAAAGAAACAGCTCGGACTAAAGGTACAAATTTGACTCTGTCAAAGTGCAAAATGCCTCCTGGCGAAAATCACACATTAACTACAGGAAGTAAACATGAAAACACACCCATGTTAAAAATTGTGGCAAAACAACCTCAACCAGTTACACGCAGCGATGGGAACGTGAGACAATGAAAGAACCTTTTCAACCAGGTATGTAGCAAAACGAGATGAGAATGAAGGGGCGACCTTTAGCAGGAAATAAGCTTATTATTACAGCTGTGCATTCGAACATTATAACCTTAAAAGAACAGAAGGTTAACAACATCTCTTTTCCAAATCTTGCAGAAATACAGTTTAACACTTCAGTTATATGATAACATGCCTTTTTTTTTTTAAATTTACAATAAAGGAAATGAAAATCTACTTGGCAGCCATTACTACACATACATTTCAGCCAGGCAATCAAGGTTCACATCGACATTAAACAAACTTTATCCTGCAGACACAGAACAAACTGTGTGGTGTCTGTCTGGTTGAACCCATGTGACAAAGGAGCAGAAGACTGTCCAAAGAATTCCCACTGAGGGAGTGTTCGTGCTGATTTTAATTACCTCCTGCCTGCGGCACTCTACCTAAGTGCCACTTCTCGTCTAAACCGAACAGATTATTTCCCACGACCGAGTATTAGGGCCACATTAAGAAAAATATTTAAAAATTGTGTGCATTTTGAGAAAAAAGTCAAAATGTGGAGATTACAGTTGCCAATGCCACGGCTCATATACACTCTACAAAACGCCTTGTGTAGAGGAGTCAGTGAAACTAACTGATCAGCTGTCCTATCGCCTCTTGTGATTCCACTAGTATCCTTTCACCTGCCCATTTCATTTTGGACAAATCTGGCCAAGTCCTCCAACTTTGTGTTTGCTTTTTTTTTTTCCTTCAGTGTTCTTTTACTTATCACACCACTGTGTTTATGTGCTAAAAGAGAAATTACTTCCTTTTAAATGAAACCAAGTACGATCTCACTAACTCATCGACACAAGGCATTTTGTAGAGGGTATAGCAGCCGTGGCAGTTTGTCTTGAAACACCTGTAATCTCCATATTTTGACTTTATTTTCAAAATGTAAATGTTTTTCTTTAAGTGGCTCTAATACTTCTACATAATTTCCAGTAACGAGAACACATCTAATACAGAAAAACCCTATATATAAAAAGGGTGTTATATATGACGACGTCTAGAGTTGGTGACCTCAGGGCCATGGTTGTGCGTGGCAGCAGTAAAGCTTCTGAGGACTGATTAGCATTTCTGTGCTGGTACGGAACAAGTAAATAAATTATCGCTCTGTATAAACATCCGTTTCGTTAATTTACATCTGTAATGAAAGCTAAGGCAACAAACCTTGGTTTGAACAGCCGAGTGTCGCTGTGTCCTCATCTCTTGGATCAACCGGAATACATTAAAATCTTCTGGAATTTTCTTTACAACGTTAAAAGAGAATTAAAAGAAATGTTAAAATCGATCGAATGTGTACATTTGCACAGGTAAGTGTGTGTTGACATACCCCGGCTTTGAGGAGGTTCCATGTGTAGTCAATAGCACAGATAGCTCCTGTCCTCCCACAGCCCGCACTGTGATTAGTGGAAACGCACACATATACACAAATAAGCTTTTGTTGTATCGGTGCACTAGATAACTAGATTTCTATCACTGAGAAGTATCTGCTCTTTTTGTATGTTGTTTGCATGTGTGTAATAACACCTCATCCAGACAGGAAGGAGACAGGAGCCTCACAGAAGCACACGCACACACACACAAAAAAGAAAAATCATAAAAAGTGATCTCACGCTGTCAGCAAGCATTCTGCTACTATAAAGAGTACCGTTTCTCCACACAAACAGTGCACATCAACCCACACAAAGCATCTTAACAGATGCAGAGATGCAGCTTTAAGTCCTGCTGTGTAACAGAGGAACCAGGAAATGTCCTCAGGCTGCTCATTATAGCTGATTACACACACATGGAGATGAGTGTGTGCGTTGTGTGTGTGTGTGTGTGTGTGTGTACACCCATGCATGTGCGCAGCAGAAAACTAGAAACTGTGGGCTTGTAATTATTTTGCTTTTGTTTACACTCAAGTTGATAACTTTACCATTTAAGCTTCTTACTGTACCATACTGATAATATTTACATTTGTAGCCTAGAACTTTCTGTCAAGTCTCCAGCTTCAGTAAATTGGGTAAAACCTGCTTTGTTTAAAGCAATTAAGTATTTCACATTAATCCATTTTTAGAAATTTCATATATTTCACATATTAGCTGAATTTCACCAAAACAACAAAAACACAAACTCAATTTCAGCTAAGAGTAGATGCATGCATAACTACCTGCAGTGTACACATATTGGGACATCATTGTTCTCTTGGTATTCTCTCATCAGCCCAATCATATCCAAAATGGAATCAAATGATGAGGGGACGTCATGATCTGGCCAGTTCATATAATGGAACTGCGTTATCCTACGGGATTCCTGCAGGAAAACAAACGTTGATAACTGAGTGGAGAGTCAGATGAAAGCTGGTTCAGTGGTGAAGGAGTGAAACTATGATATGCCATGAACAATGTTGCCAAACTGAATCTTAAAAAAACAAAAAAAAAAACAAAACTTTATTGACACAGAGTTTAAGTATAATCCCACCCCACGGACCTCCAACTTGTACACAAAGGAAACTGTTTTTCACACTAACCCAAACAGCTCTCTCCAGATGCATCTGTAGTCTGCAGTATTCAAGCCTGAAGACGGTGCATCAGATCTGGAGCATGACCAGTTGTTTTATTTTTGTTTGGATGTTTTTTAAAAAAAAAAAAAAAAAAATCCCTCACACACACAAAAAAAACCCCTAAACAAACAAATAGAAAAAAAAACAAGAGTGCAGCGTGACTGTCTATGCAGACCTGTCAGGATATTGCACTGCAACAGCCTGAGACGTCTGAAGGATGTTTGTGGTCATTCAGCACAAACGGGAATTTTTTTTAATGCACCAATCGTCCTGCGTGCAACATTTGGCTCCTGGTCAAATGGCTCCTTTTTTCCTCAAACTCAAATTTAAAGGTTGGCGTTTAGATGCATGCAAGCAGTTGAAGGGGGACTTTGGGTTTATGGCTGCAAAAAGAAAACCTAATTGTATTTGTTGGAAACATGTGGATATGAAGTTTATTTGTAGGCAATCTTGTCGCTATTGTGATAGGCTGTAGCGTTATCTGAAAGTTAACACTTACTTTAGACTGGTTTCTTGATAAAGTACATTAGGTATTAATGAAGAGGTCTCGAGAGAAAGCACTTACATTTTCATACTGTGCTGTCAAAGTCCTGATGAAGTAGTCTGTTCTGGCCTGCTCCGATTCCTAGAAAACAAAAACATGTGAGAAAAGAGGCAGTCCCAAAACCCAGACCTGCTACGTGCCTCCTTTTTGTTTTTAGACACTAGTCTCTCTCTCTCTCTCTCTCTCTACACACACACACACACACACACAACACACACACACACACACACACAAACACACAACACACACCACACACACACACACAAGAACCTAAACACACACACACACACACACACACACACACACACACACACACACACACACACACACACACACACACACACACACAGATTTGTCTACTTACATAGGAGATTCTGAAAGGGCCAAAGCTCATAGGCTGCTCCCCCTGCATCGGGAAATACCGCTCACACTTTTTCTAACCAGAGAAGAAAAGTTAGCTTTGGCTGAGAACAAAATACGAGACAGACACCACAGCTTCCTGTGAACACACACTTTCAGATTCAAAATAAACAATTAATGTGACATGTAGAACATAGATGGTGACAAATATAAGTGACTAATTATGTGCTTACTATAGCCATACGTGCAAGCAATATAGAGCTCAAAATAAGTGATCAGTGTGAATTCACATCGTCTCTTTCCACAAAAATTTTTTTTTATTAGAAAAAAGAAAAGCAGTTGTGATTTTACATGTGCAAAAATGTGCACACTTACTCTTCCCATCTCAAACTCTCGACAAGCCATCACAATAACCTGCGAAGACACAAAAAGGAAGGATTACAATATAAACATTTAAGCTCTCAAAACTAAAAACGCAGATTTTTATTCATTCCTGCGTGCTTAGATTTAAAAGAGTTAGAGAAACTAAGCAGAGCATCCTTCACGTTTGATCGCACATTTCCATGCAGCTGCATTTCAGGTCATTCCCTTTGATCCTACAGGAGTAATTATCAAAGCTGCAGACTCATCCCTCTTCATAGCACTAGTTAAACCTAATCATAGCCCTCCTCCCTCTTCTCATCTTTGTCCATCTGGTTACAGCATAAGCACTCTCCATCTGCCTCTTAATTCCTGACGACACAATTAAATATTTATTTTGAGTATCTTCATTATTACAGTCTTACTTCGTACACTTAATTTATTTAACCGCCACTAATGTCAACATTTTTTCTCCAATTTGTGTGATGACGCAAACCTTTTGTTCTTCCAAATCTGCACTCTTGGAAAGAGTAAGCGCTCATTTAAAAGAAAACAAACAAACAAAAAAAGGAGAATTACATTTTACATTAAAAAAAAAAAAATCTTCTGTTGGCTGGGGCTAGTTCTTGCAGCATTTTGCAAAAACACATTAGGTAATAAACCCTCTCTTCCTCTTCAGCCACCCTGCTAACAAAAGATCCTCCGGCAGCACAGCAGTTTTTATGCTTTTTGTGGCTAGCTTGCCAAATACTTGCACTGTTAAGGTGCCATTTCCAGCTCTTGCAGCACCACCTCTCCCTTGCTATTGTGCTCTTCTAGTGGTCACTCGCAGTACTGCAAAAAAAACAGTCAACAACGCAACACCCCGAAGCGTTTTCCCCCCCCCTCTCATAGAGCTCGATTACTAAAAAGACATCTTTAAACTATTGAACTGAACTGCTTTACCATTCCCGTTATAGAATATAACCTAACCTTAACCTTATATATTGTAACCCTTACAGAGCCTAGAAAGGTTTGTTTTACTGGCAGTATATTAATGTAAAGTAACATTTCGAGCAAGCCGACTCGCTCAGAGACTAGTATAGCATCAAAATCGACAGTACTATTTACTGATTTAAGAATCCAACATTCTGATATATCAGCTGATATTTTGTATTTATGTGTGACATGTGCAGTTATTTTTTTGCTTGTTTATGCTCTGCTCAGACAACTTCGCCCTCTGGTGGACAAACTTCAACAAGAAGGTTGAAGGGTGTTTCTTTCATTTCTTCATCACTTTTTAAAATATTTTATTTATTATATATTATAAATACCATTATTTATAAATTGGCAAATAACCAGGTTCTAGTTTTAAAGACTTTTTAATTCCATTTAAATCCTCAGTAGATAAAAGTTTACATTGCTGAAATTGCATCAAATCACTGCAAAGAAGCCAATAATCAGATATCCAGTCTATTAATGAAGACGGGAAGAAAAAACCCCCATCAAGTACATCCAAACTGTAAGGATTTACACATCAGACTTTTCCTGCTCTCTTTACCTTCAACGTTTTAGCTCAAAAACAGCACTTAGATACACGATTCAATTGTTCACAATGAGAAAAACAAAAAAATATCCCCATCCACTGACTTCCAGTCTTCTAGTAAGGAAAACTCACAGCAACATTGTATTCCCAGATCATCCTCCAGAAGTCGATGACAGTGTTCAGCAGTGGACCCTGAGTTGCAATATAGGCCTCTGGGCCATCCATACCCTGAAAGCAGAGAAAACATGTTCACCGATCAATTATATTAACACATTCAGCGAGGATTAATCACATGACTCAGTACACTATGAGAACTTTTCCACTAAACAGTAAACAACATGCCAGAGAACATGGTAAAGTAACCTGACATTTACCTTAATGAAGTTAGCATTGATGTAATCTGTGTCCTGATTGGTTGTTTTTAGCTTCAGCTTCACTCTACTGTGATCAACTGGGGAGGAAATGGAAAGAAATATTTTCTCTATTAAAACATTTTCTTCTTATTGAAACAAAAAATGAATGAGGATATAGGTGGGAACAAGTAAAATATGTGATATAATGGACACAGTATTATCCTCCATTTTTTATGTACAGTGCGTGTGTGTGCATACACATCTGTCACAGATGAACCAGTTTTTCCTTTGCCTTGTCAGCAACCCATTCACTAAAAGCCTTAATGAATGAATGGACAGAGGAGAAAAGCAGGATAAAGGTATAAAAAGTAGGACAGATGTTGGATCACGTAAGCTTCCCCCGAGGTTATTATTAAGTACCGCAAGACCTCTGTGTAGGAAACCATTGCATGACCTACGGTAGCTGTAGCTGCTATAAATGGATCTCTAAATATATTTTCTGTTATTTTCTAAATTTCATTCATTTAACCAAGTAGTTAGAATAAAACCCTCAAAGTAAACACGAGCAGGTGACAATATCTAAAAAGATATTTGACATTTGTTGGGGCTGTTACCAGCTTTAACTGAACACTGTTTTCTCTGGTGTACAGTGACCTTTAAAGCTGAGCTGATATGTGCGTGACGCAGGTGCGTTTATTGCTGTGAATCAACTACAGTCATGAAAAAGATGCAGAATGATAAGCTAGTGCAGCACATTTGGCCTTGATCTATGCATATATGTGCGCATACATAAAGGCCAGATGTGCATTTTGATAAACAAGATGCCAACCGGAAGGAGTAAAGCAAAAATCGTCCACAGATATTTTTACCTACTCATAGGCAGCACACAACCACCAAAACCTACAACAATGCTAAACATTAGGCTCCATATAAATCCTTGTTTATAGCAGCATTGTAGCGTAGCAAGGAGGCACATTAATGCAAAGGCCAGGTGTGACCAAAAAGTTTCCATAAAAATCAAAAGTTAATTTCTTGTGCACCTCCAATTCTCCTCCCACTTTTCAGAGTTAACTAAGTAAGTAGCGTCTGAAGGTTTGGGCATTCCAAATTACCAGAATTTGCCCATTTTGTCCCCTTTGTCCTCCCCATGTCTTCTTAGTATGAAGAAGCCTTGTCTATTAATTTTTGATTGAATACATTGAAAGTTGAAAACAAAAAAAAAAAACAAGAGAAATTTGAACTAACTAAATCACGTGGAAGCTATGAGATAAATTATGCCACTCTAAGCTAAAGAAAAAAAGTTGGCATCTTTACATACCAACCCCAACTTTTATCCTGTTTTCTTAAAAGAAAGTGGATAAATCAGCAGTGGCTCCATTCACCGAGTTGCCAGTATAACATACAAGAAAGGTACATCAAAAAGTAACATGGCCATAAATTTTTATTAGTTTCACCTGTTTCTGATAAGTTCAAATGTGTCCTGTGGGAAAGAATCTTTCATCTGTGGAACATGACTTACATGGCAGTATATCTTTATATCTGTTCTTCTTCACATTCTCCTCTCTCTCCCCTATGTTGGTCGGGTAGATCTTCTCTGTCCGGTATTTGGTAGATAACCGTCGTAACCGCTAAAAACAAACAAGAGAACAGGACATAGACTGTAAAACACTGCTTTTCTCTTTAGCAGTTAGACATGTGAAGTGGTTAAAAGTATAAACTGGTCTTCAAATAGAAGAACTCAAACATTGATTATTGTATTATATGATAAGACAGCAGGGTCAATCAGTGATACAAGTCAGACACAAATCAGCCTATCAACATCAGTATCACTCAAGAGAGAAAACTGGTGAGCTCGAATGAGAAAGCAAGCACTAGACAACAGCGCTAAAACCCCCAACACAAAACAAAAAAATAAAACTTACAGATGATGGTTAATAGACAGTGTTCAGTGCTCCCAACATACTCTTTCTTTAGGCTGTCAACTGGGGTATATACCCGGCAACTCATTTCAGCATTTTCATTTTTAGTTTTTATCTGTCTGAGAGAAGACCACCCACAATTCACATATTCGTGGGAAATAACCTCGCTCTTGTTGTGAAAGTTTAATTGTTGATAACCAGCCCACATTCCAGATCAAGGCACCAAAAACTGGTTTGCTAGCACGTTGCCTGTAGTTCGTATGGAAGATGGTGAACTGTCTGCCAATGCTTGCCTTCTACCTGCCTACTAATACTAACCAGGCCTTCAAAGTAAAAAAGTCTCGATTTAACACTGCAATCAACACATTTCATTCTTATTCTGAAGGCCACCTGTCACGTGTCACACTTTTCACATTCTCACCACCACTTGACGAGTAGTTGCCAAGTCACTGAGGACAAGTCTGCATTTTTCATGCAAACTACAGGCAACGGCAGCAACCACAGCAATTGCAAAGAGGTTCTCAGTGTACCAGCATTTCTCTTTGTGACCAATTTTACACAGTGACTGCGAGTTCCCCAGGTGTTCACCAGTAATGATCAAGGCACATACTTTTCCAAAGAAGGGATTCGTGAGATTCCCGTGGTTGCCGGTAGGTAGCATAACAACAGCAATGACTGCAATGACTTTAGACATGCTCGCAAAAGTATGGGTCGACTATCGTAGGACATATACCATGCGTCCAGAGGGGTACACATCGAGCACTTGTAAACACTGCAATATATTCAGCCACGTATTTTAACCTTTACTGCAAGCTTTTAGGTCCACAACTTGTTTCCGTCAGCTCCACTCCAAGCCCGAGTGCGTGCAAGGAGCTGAAAAGGTTGGATCCGTGCATCCTTGTTCATTTAAGAAAGCATGTTTGCCTCCTTTCATTGCATCCACTCGCGCCAGATGGAAACTAAATCTGTGGGAAACATGTTTCACTTCAGTGTTTGTCTTAGCTTAGATACAAGCAGGTTATTCCCATTTATAACACAGAAATGCTATTTTATCAGTCCTACGCTGACATCACTATTAATACCATTACACCACAGTCTAACACACGAACTCCCAGTCCTCTCTGTGTGACAGTGCATAAAGTTAAGTGTGTCCAAATCTAATAGTGGCTGACACTGATGAAGACACACTCGGTTAATGGGAAATGGGAAGAGCACAAGTACGTGGGTCTCTTGTGTGACAGCAGCCCAGAGCTTAGCTAGCTGTCCTTGAACACTGCAGGCAAGGATGAGGATATCTTTACAAAAGGAGAACACTATACAGGGGCCATATTTTCTTCTGTTTACTCGTGTAACTACAGTCATTATGTGTTGGGCTTCGGGCGTTTGCAAAATGAAGGTGACCTACACTCAACACCGAAAGCGCCATTTGTGGCCACAGAAGACTGAATCTGACAACGTAGGCAAAGAGCTGAGCTAAAAAAAAAAAAAAAAAAAGCAGCTTAATACACTATAAAATGACTTTTCAATGAGTCTCTTTATTGTCAAGACAACTGCTACTGTGATAGAAAATGACACCAGGAAGAGGAAAAAATTTTAATTTAAAGAACCCCATTTTATTAAGCCTATTCTGAATCCTCCTTTGTTTTTTTTTAAATCTTCATTCTGGTCTTGAGTTTAACAGTGAAAGTCTAAAGAAACTTCAAAAGCACAGCAAAACTTTTGTACCATTATAAAACTCTTGCTGCTGAAGTTAGATAGCATTCGCATGGTGTCACTCTCAAGGGCCTTAAAAAAAAAAAAAAGATATTTCTGAAGTCGGTTTAATCTCTTTCCTCTCGGTTATTCAGACATTGAGGAAATTAGGAATCTCTCCACTTTTCCTGCCCCTCTCTCTCTCTCTCTCTCTGCAAGTCTGAGAAAGTCGGCGTGGGCGTTCAGGCTTCTGGAGCCTCGTGTGAAAAATGGTCCCACCTCTTCTCTCTGGCTTTCCTCCTGTTACTGTAGCACGGCACTGCACACCCCAACTCCTTGTGTTTCTTCCTCATTTCACTTTTGTAACAACTTCAGTGCTAGTGGACATATTATCATAGAATAAATGTGACATTTCAAAAAAAAAAGACTACACTTGATTTTTCAAAATCTACAATGCTTACAGAAGTATTAGATAGCGGTTTCTGTGCATCCGTTTTTTCTTCATTCGTAAATAATTAAAGCATTTCTGATTTCCAGAAAGTTGTCTTTTGAATCTTTTTATATTTTCTGAGCACAGCACACAAGAATCCCCCCAATGACATGATCAGTTTTTCAAAATTTAATTTTACGAACTGACGGAGAGAAAAGGAGCGCGAAACAGAGACCGTGGGCGGCAACACAGCTGTGCATGTGTGTGAGAGTGTATGTGTGTGTGTGTGTGTGTGGTAATAGCGTTAGAGCTCCTCTGGCCTCATGTGAATTACATTTGCAACAGAGGTCTGCTTCTGTGTTGGGCCACAGCCCGGGCAGACATGCACACAAACACACTCTCACATAGACACATACACAAAATGAGTAGAGAAGTCAGGCAGTAATGATGATAAGTAGCTTCCCTTTGTAGCCCCTTTTGTTTCATTTACAGGAAACCCGGGGAATCAAATTCATTTTCCCATTAAATCCTGTGGATTTAGACATTCGGTGGCACCTGGCGTACAGATTTTTGCCTCCTTAATCACCCATTTTAATCTTGAATGACAGAATATATTATCTGCCAGTTAGTTAGGACAAATCAAGCAGCAACATCAGCTACACTCAAAATTTCTGCAAAATTAACTCTAGGGCAGGGGTGTGCAGCATAAGGCCTAAGGGCCAGAATCGGCCTGGCACAGACTCAATATCGGCCCACTGTATGGCTTTGGAAAATGAATTTTTTAGGTGGATAGTTCTGGTATCTTCTGTTTTATAGTTACAAGACAGTCTGGGCAATGAGCTACTTCCTCTATAAGCCCAGGGAGACAAGCTGATAGATTTTTTTAATTTACTACAGCAGTATTTCTTTATCATGTAGAAAAACGGAGGTGTAATGTTGAAATTACAAGTCTTCTTTTTCTTTAAATATATCTGAGGGATAGAATGTGTAGTTAAACTTTGAGTTTTTACTCCAGTGAATAGCTTTGCATCGTTCACAGTTCGATGTAACTCATAATCTTATTCTGTGAGATGATAAAAGGTCCTTAGTTCACTCACTGTCTACCATGCTGCTATAAGGCAACCCTACCGTTAAGCAATCTTCTTATGATAGACACAAAAAAGGTGTTTTTTGGACAGCAAGTGGGCGGGGCTTCTTGATTACATTTTAAGGATACCTGTTCAATGACATAACGCAGAGCCAAAAGTAGTAAAACCTGCCTGAAACTAAGTGTCAAGAGCAATCTGAAACTTGAGCTTTTAGCTAACAAGGATTAGCAACACACAAATGTACTATAATAACAATCATAAACATTTGTAACTGATACGTTTTATTATCCCAGGTTTCACACAGTCACTGATAACAAATCTGTAAATTATACTGATGTTCTTAAATATAATTAAAAGCATGTATGCAAAACCAGTAGTTCTAAGTCATGAATGCACCATAGAGCGCTATCTTCAGCATCACTGACAGCGCCTTTATTTATCACTTGTTAATCTGCTGATAGAGCAGGGCTGACTTGTCTGTGGAGTGTCACTTACAACAATTACAGGAATGGCAACTAGGAACTGCTTCCAAATTGTCTACTCCATCAAAATATATGCCTTTAAATGTATCAGTTCCTTTAATCAACGCTAGCATATTTTCTGAGAAGTTGTGCAACAATGGATGTAAACTCAGCATGGCTTTTTTTCCTGTCTTCACCACAGAGACAACTGAAAAGGAATTAATGAAACAACCAACAAAAGATCAACCCTATAAAGGCACTTGTTTCAATATCAGTCCTTAGTTATAATTACTAATATTATTACCAGTTAAAACCACTTGTTTAATTGAAAGCCTATGTGATTTAAGGCAGAGTAAAAAGATACCTCTATAATATTAGAAGATTAGATGAAGAAAATGTTAACAGTACTCCAATCAGTCCTGTGAAAAGCTGAGCTCACACCCGCACGGCTTCCATAGTAATTAAGAGGTTAAGTAGCAGCTATGTGTTGCTAATCAAATATACCTGATTAATTGACTAACTTGTCAATTAAGGCAAAAGTTTCATTTGCAGTTTGTAGGTCTGGGGCATTCTGGTGGGTTAACATCTTGCCACAATCTTCTTAGGAGGAGATGTTCCAGAAAATTCCCCACATGATTAGACAATGCTCAGAGAAATTGGAAAAAACAAAACAAACAAACAAAAAGCCCCAAGTGCTACATCTCACACTCACACTCTGCAGGCCTCGATTAGCTTGTTAAATGTTGAAGTTCACCCCAGTATAATTAAAAACAGCTTGAACAAGAATAGCCTGTTCGGAAGGGTTGAAAAGGGGAAGTCTCTTCTTATTATAAAAACAAAACGAAACATAGCAACACAGTTTAGGTTTGCAAAGTTGCATCTGAACAAACCACAAGACTCCTGGAACAATGACCTTTTACAGACCAGACCAAAGTGGAGATGTTTGGTCATACTGCGCAGCACCATGTTTGGTAAAAACCAAACAGCATATCTGCACAAACAACTCATACCAACTATAGAGCACGGCGGTGGAGGGGA